TTCAAGAGAGTGGTGTCCTCTTTGGCAAAGAAACATAGTAATCGCAGATTTCCACCAGGCTTTGCAGAAACATACTTGGGACAGCAGAGCATTTCATTCAATTATTCAGATTCAGTAGAGAAGATATGTTGATTCCTCATCCTTTATTTTCACATTTCTCTGGCGTCTGGCGTCTCCTTCCCACTCTTCTTTTCTGCTTTATCTTGTACCTAGAGCGAAAGTTTATCCATTCTTCTGGTTCTAGTTCTACTTCTTCTCCAGCAGTCAACTTTCTCAATTACATCTCCTTTGCAAGATAGATGATGGCAATCTTTTGTTGATGTGATGCTCAAGTCTTATTCTTTGTCAATTCATATTATACTATGTATGTGTAAAACTGGTTTAATAACATAAGAAAAATAATTATAATAGCACAAAAGTTTTAAAAATTTGCAAACCTATTACTATGATCAATTCATAACCTGTTTATCTCGTAATAATAATAAGTCTAATTAAATACACACCAAATAAAGTCAACATAAAATAATAATACAGTTTGAGGTTACTTGAGTATTAAAGCTAGTAATTATCAAGTTTGAAGTATACCATAGTAATAGGCAGCACTTTTAAACTTACAGGAATAAATATTATAATGACAATGACTGTTAGTTAATGTAAACTTTTTTATTGTCATTTTTTTAGTCTGATTGAAGCAACTGAATAATTTTATGTGAACAGATACATTATTATTATTCTTTCGTTCACCATGTTTGATAGTTGAGTACTACGCGTTGTAGCAAACCAACGCATTACAGTTCCGGCAAAAATAATGGCTGTGACAATTGTTTTTACGGTTTTTATAAAATATAATACAAAATCTGTTATCTGTTATTGTAAACGCATTATTATTTTAATACGTCAGGCATACCCTTGTCTTTATATTTCCATTTTAATAATCTCAGTCTGATTTGGATAGACTATAAACATATAATAACTGTCTCAAAAATGTTCGCGTTTTTAGACTCGTTAATTCAAATCAATACATATGTAAATCGAAAAATACAATTTTTTGCCTCACATAATCTAATCTGTTAATGTAAAATAGCTCTTATATTTGCTGCTTGTCAATTTGCTCAAATTTTATTAGTATTAACTTAGTATAAATCTAAATCTAAATGAAAACCACTATTCATCTTGATTTTTTTGCAAGTTATGATATTAGTCTTAAACTTCTGCTAATAAAAAACCTTCTAAAAATGATAATAACAAAATTGATAATAACTGACCGCCATTATTTTTGCGCTATAACTACAGCGACAATTCGGGTTAATAACTTAACCCAAGCTCATGTGCCCAGAGCGGACGAAGCAGCCAAAAATGCTGCTTTAAAAACTTGGTTAGCTGATGCGACCAAAGGTCGCTCAAATTGGTATCCATCTTCTATTGTATACCCATAGTTATCACGAGCATTTTTGAGTTCTTCTAAAAAATACTACCCTTCCCCCGGGGCTGTACATACTAATGCACTATTTAGACAAAATTACACATAGTAATTGTGTTTCATGTTATATTTTAACCAATAAAGTAACTATTAATATAAATAAATATTTTGTTGGATGCTCATTGTTTGTAATAACTGCTTCTGTTCTCTGTGGCATACTTTCATAATAATAAAGCCCATTAGTTGATTCTTTGAAGACTTGTCCCATTCTTCTTGCAGTACAGTCTAGTATTGGTACCAGAATTCTCCAACGCAGCTGGCTGCTATCACAATATTCTCTTTGCTGATTGCTTAGAATAAGTTTCTGAGCTGGGCACATGAAAAAATCTTAATTTTGCTAATTGTAGTAGAAACTTCAATCTTAAAAAAATTTCTTTTGCTCAGCTGGTACTGGTTGTACTCTTTAGAATTTTTGACTTTTATTAGTCATTATAATTAGTCATTAAGACACACTGTTTATGTACTTTTTAATAGTATGAGTGTCAGCTGTTCCATAAACTTTGAGCAGTCTGCTAATTTTTAATATAAATTATCTATTTTTGCAAAGCCAAATAGTTTTACTACATTAACTTTCAGTTAAGGAATACGTTTGTGTACATGAGAAATGTTAGAAGGTTAAAAATTTATTCATACAATCTTGACGTTTGTTTACAGATAACACACACGTGTTGATTTTTTTTTTTTTTTGAAATTTGAGACATAATATTGTGTAGTTTGTAACAGCTAATGTGCAAGACTTTTTGTCCAGGTAGTGTATACATCTACAATCCCCAAAAAGAGTAAGATTTGTCTTGTGATTTAACAAATATATAATATTAAAAATAGTTACAGAGACTTTCAGATTTATTAAATTTAAGCTCAAATATCGCTTTGGCATGCTTGAAGTTTACTGGTAAGAGGGAAACGAGTGTTTATAGCCAGATAACAAGTAACTATAGATATTTATATAACTGGATTTATATTCTAACAGATAACATTGTATGGGACAGAGAAGCATATTATACAAATTCCCTGTTGCAAAAAAGTTTAATTTATAATTGTAATTGTATAGTTTTATAAATTGAGATACATACATAGGTGAACTTGATAAGTCGGACACGACTGGCTGGGCATGGCTGTTCGACTTATCGAGCTTCCGACTTATCGAGTTTACTTGTGTATCTGTATGTATAGGAGTAATGTTGATCAGCTGTAGCATATATCTGTAATTACTAAATATTTTTTAATCAATCTAAGAGCCATTGCTTTATTTCTATTGTGAAAAGTGAAAGTGTTGCGTACATAACAGTCAAATTTTTGGCATACCGATTTTCTGATAAAGATATGTGTCTTGAGGCCAGTGTGGTGGACCGAGAGTCGAGTCCTCGGGAGACTAGGGAAATGTGCAAGTGAAGTACACTCCTTATCTAATGGAAATATTAAAAAAGGTATATATCTTAATCAAAGCAAGTCAAGAGCAACAAGGATATAGTCATGTGTATTAAAATCTGATACGAGATTTTGTATTTGGTGCTCGTTTGTAGTTTAATTCTATGCCCCAATTCTTTCTCCTTGAATGTTTGCACTTTAAAGGCAATGTTAACGTATAACGATTAAAAAGCCATCGATGGTACATGAAAATCATCTATTTCGCTATTTATGATTGAACGGTCACTAACCTGACTATAATATATGTGAAGCCTTGTGAATATTTTCGTGGAGTACTTAATTTTAGAAGCGGTTATCCAAATATAATTACAGTCGCAGATGTTTCTTGATATAACGGCTGACCCGACTTTATCGTACTGAAAGTTTGTGTTATAAATATTTAATACGTACTGACAATAAATATTAATCAAGCATGGCACAAAGTTGGGAACTTTAGATGTTACTGTCTATACAAGGTCTGCGATACGTGTAGGCTGCTTGTCAGCGATAATACGGCATGTTAAAACAGCATAATTGCGGTAGAGATACAGACCTCAGGGTGGGGGGTAGGGGCGCCAAGGGGCTCCTAGGCGCAGTTTGTATTCTCGGTCAAAATATATACTTCAAAGGCTGTTTTGGTTATAGCCGCAGAAATGTAACAAGAATTGGCTTTTGCTACGTTCAATATGTACAGTATAAACAAACTTGTAAAGCTTCTCAGTAAAGTAAGCATTGTAATTAAAAAACAACGAAACGGTTTAAATTTTCGTACATTTCGTAAATACCATACTTTAATCCGTCGTACTTGTCTGTCGAAAGGACAAGTTATTGGCGACTCTAAACTATCGAGTGTGATGCGTTTGTCTTTGTTCCCTTATCTCGAGTTATCTCGTGATCTTCGTAACACATTAAATTTACAGTAGTAGGTTGATCGATGTGCATTGATAACTTGATATGCAAGTATGCATTCAAATAGTAGGCCATCGGTAAATATTGCAATTCCCCTGATAGAAGCGAGCTTATGTAATTACAAAGTTAGGTCGACAAATCAATTATATACAAGTCTCAATTTTTTAAAATGGACAAACATATGATATTATGTTACCCATAAAGTAAGCAGCGGCCAATTGCCAAGATTCCGATCGATGAAAAGAAACAAAGCATTCACATTCCATTCGTCTTTACCATTTATTTGCCGCCTTTCCTCTTTTATTTTTCGGAGTTGAAAAAAAATCCATTATTATTATGCAGGGATTCATATAATAGCAATAGCATATGAACATATATTCAGGCTTCCGCATAAATGCGTGATTCCATTAACCTAGAATAAGGCAAACAGACGATTATTCTTGAACAAAGGCTATACAGTCCATATGGTTTGCTATTCGAGTCGACATATAACTGTGCCGACAATGCACCTTTGCATCATTGATTTTCGTACCGTGATTGTTTGCGGAAAAGTCTTATAGTCTATCGTTATGTCTAAGTTATCTTGATTAGTACAGATGATATCACCGAGAGTACCATTTATGGAATATCCACAGTGTAACATTTTTATTATAATAAAGTCATTCGAACTAACGCTAACCGTTATAATTGATAAAGTAGGGAAGAATGGTTCATATTTTAATACAGTTTAATATATACGCTGTATATATTCCATTGATGCAGAATGGGGATTGTTGGATTGTTATGTCTATCCAAAGTCGGCCGTCTAGAGAGTACCATATTGAGTTTTATTTGGTATCAACAATTGACTTGTTCTTCCATTGCCCTTGCTTCATCCGTATATGCATTTATTGTTTTATCAGACTTGCGCTGTACAATAGCTAATTATTCATAGATGCCATATTCACTATCTTCTTATTATACCGAACAAATGCACCGCGATTCATGCTTTATGGCTATAGTAAATTTTTATTGTTTTCGTATATAGAAATAATAGAAACAGTGGCGCAATCCAACCTCCGTCTCGAAAACTATAAATCACCGTGGTTTTCCAGCGAAAAAAAGGTAGACTGGACGAGTCTCAACGACCTTTGTTAACGATATACAATTCTCTTACCACATTCGAATTCGTTTGCTACGGCAATAACCGCTTATTAACCTCGACATGGATACACCGACAGTCATTTTTCACTCTGATATCTCGACAGATCAATCGATTTCATCGTTACTATCAGGCATCGTTCCTCCTCAAAGTCTGAATTTAACTCTTACTGTAGAAGAGCTCATTAGATGCCCAAACATACCGAGAAGCGTCCAGCGTCGTCATACAGACATTGCTCGCCCACCAAATTGTTTCATGTTATACAGAAAAAACTTCCTTGCACAAATACGAAATAGTGGATTGGAAGAACCGTTCAATATGAGTGCATTATCTAAAGAAGCTGGAGCTCGATGGAGGGAAGAGCCTCCTGAAGTTGTGAACTTTTTCACTCAACTTGCAGAAGTTGTAAGAGAAATTCATTGTAAAGCCCATCCCCACTATAAATATACACCAAGAAGAGCGATCAAGCGAAGGAGGAACAAGCAACTTGGGAATATAAATAAAAAAAAGCCTGCGCCCTTGCAAAAACAAAAATCGGGTGAAGGAAAAGAAGGTGTTCCAATATCCTTACTTCAAATAGAATTTTACGTCCATAAATCCGACTGTGGTAAAAGACAAGTCGATAACGCATCCAGTACTAGTATTGAAGAACGAATCGAATGCGCAGAACCCAATTCGAACGCGGAAGAGTTTAATCACTTGCTAGACTATATGAATTTAGACAATGTCGACATGTTTTAATAGATTTTCATAGTTTTCATTTAATTTCTCGTTATTTTAAGTTCGGAATTTCGTAAGTCAAAATTTTTAAGATTCTATGGTAAAGCGAAAAGTAGTTTAAAATTTTAGTTTAGGTCGTTGCGTTGAATTTATTTCGAATTATGTATCAAGAACGTTTATTTCTTTCGTTTATTCTTTTATGAATAAGAGTGTCAGTTGGACAATTTTCCAAGTGAAAAACAAAAATTCTGCCTATTGTATATTGTGTCATTTCCCACGCCACATCAGTACATCTCGTTACCCAGATTCCTGCCACATAATTTGTTCGGATAACAAGAACAAAGACCGTGAAATTTTTCGTAAGACACGACCCAACAATGACATTGGGAGTACCACAGAAAGTATACCTGAATGTGATTAAGTATATAAAAGAATTACACTTACGAATATATCATATGTCACATATTGTTACGTAAGATTGAGTCCAGAACACCAAAATTTCGAAACAAAGAAAGATCTGCCTTACCCGACTTACAGCTCGTGTTAGATAATTCGTAGCAGCAAATATTGGTGAAATATTCGTTCAACCATCCAGCAGTTGGTACAATAATATTGTTTCTTCATGGACTGAATAGGGTTACAAATAATAATAATGCTATGCCTCTAGTTCTAGCTGTCCGTAGCCGGTTAATCAATTGATCCAGGGCATTAGTATTAGTCATAAACAAATATGCTTATTAATTTGTTATTAATCAATTAAAACCGGTATTGCCCAGTTCACAGATATCGATATATAGATAACAGCTATAAGCGGTAAAACTGTTGTTCCTAGTCAACAAAGCAAAAATCATCAGTTTTGACATCTACCTCCCCTTTCTTAATCCCATTCCATAAAAGCAAATCTAAAAATAACTGAAATAGCCGGGGGTCTTTTTTTAGAATTACCTTCGATTCGTAACATGACGTGCGGATTTTGAGTTTTCCCCGGGAACGCTGCCCTGAAACTTATTTCACATGAGCACTCACGTGGTCTTACCCATATGGAATTGACCCTTATACTGATAACATTTCGTTTACCCGAAGATTGTACTGGGCCTCTGATTATACTGATAAAAATGGCCGGTATCGGTATAAAGAGGTTTGAAAAAAAAACACACCAAAGATTTGTGAAAGACATTCCAATAATGTCAAGCGAACAGATACGCAGTATCGAAATCGATCGCAGTCATAATGAGCCAACGGGACATGGAGCGACCGATCAGACCAGACAGTGAGCCAGAAAAACAAAAAATAGTTGTAATATATCCTTAAAAAGATAGTAATTCAAAGGGTCAATGACCTCATTCATAGTTTATTTTAATTTGAAAAAATACAAGAAATCTATTACCTAGTCGATCAGTACTGTGCCACAATTAAGGAGAGACAAACATTCTGATTTGGAATACGTCATCTTGGAAGTAATATCAATCAAAGGGGTAATTATCTCCTTTGAATTTTAAATTACTCTCTTCGTAATTGCAAGATTTTGCCTTCTGATAACGATAATGACGATAAATAAGATATTATTAGAATGAGATTATCGCAATATCTTTGCTTATAACATTCTAGTTTTGTATCAACAATGGATTCCGGAATTCCGGAATATAATCGCAAGTGATGTCCAAAAACGAAACGATGTATGTACCCACACTAAGATTTTGATCAAGGCGATTGATTACTAACTTACTGACAGACTACCTTTCAGTGGCAAACAAAGATATCGCTTACCAGCATGAATCCTCCCAAGATGCCTAACGCGCTTCACTCGGATGAGTTGAACCAGTCCAACAGAATCGCTTCAGGAAATACCATTCTATTCGCTCAAAACGTTACGATCAACGGCGACATGAGTAGCACTAAACATCCGAACGTCATCGAGCACAATCCAACAGCCAACTTATTGGAAAGCCATCGGAAGACAAAAGCGTTACCTTATGCGCCGGCGCCTCGCGCGACCGACGATGTAACCATACCTTCGGATTTCATGCCAACCAATCTGGAGCCCGACCAAATTCCGGCAGAATATTGCGCCCTCTGCCACCAGCTCCTATCTTTCCGTCTTTTTCTTTCCATCGACGAGCTCATTTCTCCTTCTCAAGTGTCTCGTACGTTCCGACGAGACGAGTCGATACCACGTCCACAAAATGCCTTTATAATCTATCGCCGTAACCTAGTAGCATCATTGAAAGGAAAAGGTGGAGACGTTAAATTTCATGATATCAGCGACGAAGCCAGCGAAGCCTGGAGAAAGGAGCGACAAGAAGTGAAGCAGTTCTTTAAATGCTTGGCTGTTATGGGCAAGATAGTGCACAGCAAAAAGTGGCCGGGATATATATACAAGCCGAAGAGAAAAGCAAAGGGACAGCAAGACGGCGTGAGTGGTGACGAAGCATGTGGTAATAACGACGACGAAAACGAGGAAATTGAATGCCTTAATGCAATGGTCAACGAATGTTGCAATATCATGAGCGATCATAATGATAATAAAAAGGAAATACTTTACAAGGCCTTATCCAAGCAAATGAGAAACTTGCGGAAGCGTCAACAAAACAGGCGTGCAAATAGATTGTTGGGCCCAAGAAAGAGGAAGAGAGTGATTATTAACAAGAATAATCGTGTTGATTATGACACTGGATGGAAACCAAATAACAATATTAATATTGAGAGTATAGAGGGGATGGAAAATGGGGGAACTGGGGGGGATGGAAGGAGCGCAGATGAGGAATCGCATGACAATATTGACCTGAACGGCAGCCATTACGATTGTTCGATAGCCAATTTGAATTGTGATCCTAATGATACAGGTGTTGTCAATGTTCTCGACGATGCTCAAACAAATAACATTGAAGACTGTGGAATAGCGCTGGATTCCGCTCATTTGGCGGCCAATTATTGGGGGGTATACTCGATTCCTGTTTCTTGGAGTGGAAATGAAGGCGTTCCAGACCTGATGGCCGAAAGTGTATCAACTGTGAATGGGTATAATGGAATTTGCATTGATCAATACAGTTTGACCGCCCGGTTGTGATATCTTACGATTTAATAGGAGAAGCATTGAAGGTATATAAATATTTATTGAGATTTAAGTACGATATATTGAAGATACATAAATATTTTATTGAAATTAGACTATGATAATGTATATATAATATGCATATATGAATATGCTATAAGTATAATTTATAACTATCGTGTTAAATATCAAGTATATGAATATGCTAAATATAAGTACTTAAATATATATGTAACTTATCTATTAAATCTTAAACATTAAATATAAAATATTTATTACATAATTAGTGATACATTGCACTCATGTGTGAAATGCCGTATTCGTCTCGACATATAATGCCTTTGCGCGATGTCTATTATCTGTTGGAGGGGTCACCACGCACACCTTTGCCAATTCTTTGTGCATCCGATATATGACGCCACTTGCCATTATAGTCTTGTGGATCGCCTGTTTGATCGCACATAGACTTTAATTTGTAACACCGCTCGGTAAACTGCGGCTTTCGGCTATACTCTTTTTGGACGAGGGCATTGATTTCATATAAGGCAAACAATCATTGTAAATTTACATAGACCTGGTAAACGGGTTATTCACCGAGTTCGAATAAGTCAAAATCATAGACATAACGCCTCGCACTAGGAAAATGTCCATTTACGACCATTTGCAGAGAGATATAAATAAATAACAGGGAACAGTATATACGCCGCCCCGCCATTGGACTCTGACTGCTAAGCTTGTTACAACTGTTATCCAAATAGTCAATCCATATAAACGCATAGGCTGTATGTGGGTGGCAATATGATCTCATAAGTTGGAAAAGACAGGTTTCTATTCAGGATTAATGGAGAGATGCGTGTATCGATTACAATAAGTTTTGTCCCCAACAAAATTTTCAAATGGTTAGATTTATTGTTGCTTGCTTGTAAACATGCATACATTCCTGCAGGGTCACAACTCTTGTTACATGATAAGCAGATAGAGATAAGGTGGGTGAGTACGTGGCATACAATAATACTTGCAATTGGGGAACCCTTAATGGTTGATGTAGCCACATGTGTTAATCAGGATCGTGAGTATAAAGACATTATTCCCTTTTACCCTCGTTGCTGAGCAGTGTGAGAATTTTCTGTTAATGATTGTTTCAGTTAGACCAAGTTCCGATAATAGAATATCAGTCACGTAGCCACAATACTAATATACAAATTCATACTAGGCGTGCATTTATGATTGTTTGTCGTTTTTCTTCCTATTGTTTGTTGTTGTTTCTATGAATCCATTCGCTCGTAAAATAGTAAACACGTAAGCAATAGATTCATAGAATGCGTAGAAAGCTTCTTTATGAAGACGTTTTCGCTCATATATTTTGTTCATCGACTGTATAATTGGCATTCTCCGCCCACTTTGGTTGATGGCGTAAATTAAGAAACAATACAGTTAATAATATTACAGTCGTACATCGCACTGTATGCAAGCATAAACAAACAAATTTAACCTAATTTAGAGATTTAATATTCTGCATAAGTAAAAGTAGGTATAGTAGATCACATGAAATAGCTTTTCTATCGGACCATAATGCCATATGGAAAACCGTGATAGAAAAATAATAAACTAATGCGTTTGTAAGGAATTCAACGAAAACAAATATATAAAGGGTGGAATGTGTGTGTTGTTTTGGTGAGATAAATCGTTAGCATTTTCTCTCTTGGAAAATTTAACAGCAACAGCAAAAACAGCAGCAGCAACAGTAAAAACAACAGCAAAAAAACAACAGCAACAGCAAAAGCAACAGTAGCAACAGCAACAGCAACAATTACAACAGCAACAGCAACAGCAAAAACAACAGCAGCAACTACAACCAGTAACTGCAACAGTAACAACAATTATAACAGACATTAAAATATCTTTTCCTTATCCTGAAACTGCCTTTTGACTATCGCGTCATCTTCTGAATATATTCACGTCTGCTTAAAGACCTCACAACACAAGATCTACTCCTACTTTACCTCAACAAAAATGTCTCATATATTCAACAGCCAAACTCTTCTATTTATCTCAGAGCAAAACATGCTCACGGAAGAAGTTATGGGATTGCTGAACAACCCTCCTCTGAAATTGGCGCTTTCAATACAGGAGTTGGTCGATCCAACTCCGCGGTCGCGAAAACAATTAAGTAGAAAAAGAATTCCACGCTGTAGCAACGCGTGGATCATGTACAGGCGTGACGTGAACGCCAGGAAAAAAAATGAGGAGGGATCAGCAACCACATTAGAGGCCAGCTCCAAAGAGGCCAAACGGTTGTGGGAGAATGAGGGGCCTCTAGTGAAGAGGTTTTTTGAAGTCCTTTCGGAGCTTGCGCGCCAAGTCCACAAGCGCAAGTATCCAAATTATAAATATATACCTAGGGAGAGGAAGGGTAAGACGGGTAAACTTAAAGAGGAAGGCCCAGGATATATATTTTTCGACGGATTCAAGGAGTGGAGAGAACCGATCGAGGTAGAAGAGGATCATAAAGAAGATGTCGACGCGTCACCGCCCATAATTCAACTTCCGGAAATACCGGTAGCAGAGACTATATATCAATCGTCTCTTTATTCACCACCGGGGGCAGATGAGTGGGAAATGCAATTGCAGTCAGATTCGTACGAGGATCTATCGTTTGACGATTGAGGACAATAGTTGGACATTGTAATGTCTTTTGTTACTTGAGTTTTATTGTATTCACAATTACAAACCTTGTAACGAGATTATATTCTAGTTGCGATGTACTGTAGACTATCGCTCTTTTCTGCGGTAAAGACAATGTTTAATGTATAGTCATCGTATGTTAATGCATATGTTCATTTGTATATAATTAAGAATATGATTAATATTAAGAATTTGTATGATTAAGAACCCGATTAAGACTTTAATATGATTAAGAATTTATATGATTAATAGCACATCTGTATATGATTACGAATAAATTTATATATGATTACGAATACTTTTTTATATGATTAAGAATACAGTTGTATATGATTGAGAATACAGTTGTATATGGTTAGGCAGTATATTTGTATATGGTTACGAATGCCCTTTTTATATCGCCGTATATGATCGATAATGACTTACTTCTAATATGCACTTGTTAAGTTACTCTATTGTAATATAAAATCGATAAGCTAAGCATGAAATTATATAAGCTGTATAAAAACCTAGTGTACGAATTTATGTTGGGGGGGAAAGCAGAGACGTTGGTCATGCGAACATCATTCACATCTGTCAATAGTTTAAATTGAATATCCTCCTAACCGAGATAGGCATCTCATTAGGCAGCTCATGGTCATCAATAATGCTTGCATTCGCCATTGTCGATGACCCCCCAAATATACCCCCGTTTTACGTATGATTTATTCTTAGAAACTCGAAGAACAATAGCGTCTTTTAAGTTTCACATTCATATCCGTTCATTGGTTAGTAACCAAACAAACAATAAAACTTTTTATGTATATAAGTTAAAATTGTCTCCCCCCTTTACGAATAAGTCAGTGTTACGATAAAGCACTATGGTATCACAGATTAGCACAAAGCATCCGGGAAATAACGAAAACACCTAAGTTGATATACATGGTAAGATTAGCATTAAACACCAATGACGATCAACGGAGATAAGTCACGAGCCGTATCGCGAGAGATGAAAATGATATTCAATGTGAACTGAGATCTAATTCGTATATGGAATTCGGGCTCGGATATTGACTGTTTAAACGCATGTACATAACATAGGACTGACTGTTTACTGCGTATACACTCAACAGTTTACTATAGAAGTAAATAAAGAAACCCTTGAAAGAGTTTTTACAGTGATCTTGGCGCACTATAATAAAGTAAGTTAAATAAATAAACGGAATCAAATGGAATCAAATAGAATATACTAAAAACACTATAGTAAACCAACAAGTCATAATATGATTAACAGCCGTATTACATCGGAGATATCATTGTAAAAATTATAACTATTATACAAACAGTCGGACTTGTTGTTTATATTACTACTTTAAATAACGGAGAGAAAGTCCATATACCAGTACATATCTAGCAAAAAGGTCGATAAACGAGAGCCCTTGTCGTCTAAATTAATGGCAATAGTGGTTTTCCAAGATCTAGTAGTGCGACTAAGTAATCGTAAGCATTTATTTACAGTAATAAAGACAAGGGGTTACTGCAAGCCATAAATTTAATACATATTAATCGTATAAGTAGAGTAAATATATGCCTGTTATTTGTCTGTTATCTTTGAATAGATCCGATGACTTCATGTGAAAAAGTGCACAAGCCTTCCCGTGTTGAGAATTATGTAAAGTGACGAAATAAAATAAATAAACAAAGAAATTATTACTTTATTTGAACAATAAGAAAATAGATACTCCGCACAAATAATGTGGGAATAAAATTGATATCCATTCAAACTCCGATTTCGCGTATAAAACAAGTATAACATATGCGTACAACTCTTTGTTATCATTTCTTATCAAGCTTAAGCAAAGACTAATATCCGATAAATGTCGCATTTAATATATTATGTAATGATAGTAATGGCTGATTCGTTGTTAAGTTTACACTAATATTAACATTAAAAAACTGAATGGAATACAGTTTTCCGATATATCGTACTCTTAAATAAAAATCCCTAATCTCTGATTTGCTTATGATTGGCTACGCCCCATCTGATACACATTCAACATTACCACCCCCCAGTTTTCATCCATAACGAAGAAAAAAAAAAGATAAAGATACAGATAAAGATAAAGATAGAGATAAAGATAAAGATAGCTCCACCCATACAATAGTATTAAATTCATATAACAAATAATAGAATAGATATTTTCTAAACATAATTATACGTTGAAATCTTTCTCAACTGTACGTTTGTTTAAAGCTAATTATACATTAAAATATATGTGGGTTTCATACACATCAGAGTACGGATCTATTAATGAGTAATTGTCACTTGGTTCAAGGCTCTGCATTGCTTGAAACGGAAGAACGCTTTCATGCCCTATTGAGGACGGAATGCTTGGGGTATTATTTACAAGATAAACGTTGCCTTCTTCTACTGTCACGTCATTGCTGTTCGAAGCAGTCGTATTCTCCTCGCTTGCTGTTGTTTCTTCTTTTTCTGTACTCTTTTCCTTTGAGCTGTTGCGCATTCTCTTTGGTCGAAATACGTACTTTGGGTACTTTTCTTTGTGAATTTCTTTGGCGATGTTTCCGAGTATACAAAAAAATTGCCTGACCGCCCCGCATTCTTTTCTCCACGATTGGCTGATCTGCCGAGTAATTTCAGTTATGCGAGTGACTTTAAAATTTACTCCCTGGGCCCGCAACCTCGCGATATAGTCGCGCTTGTATAACATAAAATGATTCTGTGGCCGCGGGATCTTTGTGTGACCCCGAGCCACATTCCGGGCCACTGCACTCGGATTCGTTAATTCCTCTATGGACAATGTTAGCCGAAAGGGTAGGAGCGCTGGCAGGAGCGCTGCGGGGTTTGTCATTACGTCCTTGTGGAAGAGGACGGGAGGAGTTGAGGATGATGTATTCATGATTAGATTTTATGTTATATGTAATATGGCTTGACAACTCTGAGACTTTGGTGGTGGAGTTGGTGCAGAATATTTATATGCATATAATATAGCTTGTCAGCTTCTGAGACTTTGGACAGGGTTGGTGTGGAATATTTATATGTTTTTGACGCCAATTGACGAGAATAAATGATCGAGTCACACGATATTCAGCTGCATAAATTCAGACAAACGTTTACATTATATGTTTGCAGAAAACACCAATCAAATGCAGTAAAACGTTGCTTGTATATTTGTTAAGTTTTTGATTTATGCAACTAGGTAATGCAAAGTTCAAAAAACACCCTATTGATTTTCTTATACAAGGGATAGGACTGTAATATAATACCCACAAGATTCGTCCGTTGCTTTTATGGAAAATAAGATATAAAACTAGTGCAAGGTCGGTCATACATTTGTTGATTAACTCGCATATGACACGATAAGCAATATAGTATTTTATACGTGCTAAAGTACTCACAGTGTTACCGCAAACTTACGTGTGATCTACCACTTTACAATTGTCTCCGCCACACGGATCATCACAAAGACATTACAATATTGTGTGACGCAAACAAGGTCCATATTTCGATACATACGGAACGTTATAGAGAAAAGGAAGCATTTCTGATTCTGAAAAAAAAAAACCATTTCAAGGAAAAGTGTCTCGGCCATCTATTGGGGTTATCAACCAATCAGTGATTGTCATCAGAACACTTGATCCTCGATTCTAAGTCTCCTGATTTGGTGTGATCGACGTTCTATGTAGAAAATCTATTACGCATATATACTGTAAATGCGTACTGTTAATGGATCATCCGAACCCTTCACTATGACTCGACCTGGTGTATTAAAAAAGCGAATTTTAACCACTTTAGGTTTACTTGAGCAGCAAACAAACGGTTTCCATTAAACGAATAAAATCTCTTTGTTCAGTATTAATCACGTGATAACTAGTAAATTGCTTGGAAAAAACTCGGTGTTTATAAAAAATTCTATATTAAAAAACTTGATATTTGATATACTAATACAACCAATTACCAAGACGTTTCACACAATTTTCACTATAATGTTCATCTGTATTCTATTTACATATAACAAATGTGTTTGAACGATGATAGGTGTTTGCAGTGCCGACAGTAACATCAATGACGACGATGACGCGAGGGCTGGAAATTATACAATCGTCAGATCTATGTGTAAACGGTTATGTTAACATTCGGAGTTTTCCTCTCCCCAAGCATTTACGCTCGTGTTTACTATTTACAACTACAACTTGTTTTTTTTCCGGTTACAAACGGTATGATACAATTTCTATTATTTTCATTCTAATAAATAATCGGCGCTCATATTAACATTAAGGACTTATGATTGTTATCACCCATTCTTTTGTTTCGTATTAAATATTCTCGAATGTCTGAAACGATCCGTTTCATTGATACGTATTCAAATATAACTTTTGATCGGAATCACCAATTCCCATTCATTAAAATAATCAATTAATTATAACTATTAAATAACACTACTTCGGAGCGCACTTGTTACTGTAAAAGTCAAATAATAATAATATTTTTGGTATTGAATCTCTTTATTGGGCTTGTCTTTGCTTCCATTAGAAAATTCACAATCACCTCGAAAAATCAATATTGTGCAATAGTAAATGTGCCAAGTACCACGTATGTTGAAAAGTTTATGAAAATAATTCTTTTAGAAAAGCTTATTGAGCAAAAAGTCTAAACAGTATTCAAAGTCTTTTATTTAACCAAGTCACTACAAAGGAAGAATTTATTCCAAGTTATTCTTTATGTGTTATCCTACCAAGAAATTCAATCCGCGTAAAACAGCTATACAGTAAAAGTCGATATTACGGACTAAAATGGTGGCGAACAGTCCGTTATATCGACTTTTACTGTGTATTGAGATAATTTTAATAATAACTTGACAAAGAAAAGACTATTACATTATGCGAAGATTTACGGGAATAGATAATACTCATGATAACGCTTTGTTCTTTCATTAAACATTTCCCAGGAACTTGGAACCATACTTTAATCAAATTGAGGAATAGCCCAAAACGCTTACTGTTTGACTATGTCTATTTGATTAATTTCCAAGGTATGTAAAAGATTTGTTGTCATTGCAAAACTCAACATACGTAAATAGTTGGAATGTTATTACAACAAGCCTTTGGATCATATCTCATGCGTTAATTCACCTATTTATTGAAAGAACGCTTGATGCGAATTTGTATTTTCTCTTTTGTTTCGAACAATTATACTCATTCTTACTATACACTAACGTTCATTATGAATAAAAATAGTACAAGGCAATAATGACAAGTATTGCGATCTTTAGAGAATGGTGATAAAATATATTTGTAGGCATCTCTCGATGTCGATCTTTGCGAGTTTCCGAATTTTAGGGCGGTAAGTAACGTAATAGTAAGCAAATTTATTGCTTTCTACCCTTGCGTATTACTTTAATCTTATCATCCTTCTCCAATAAAGGAATTTGTATATAACCGAGGGTACTATGGTACAGTGTTACTGTTGTCGGAAAGGACATATCGATAGGCATCGAGTTTCTCAATGCGATATATCAATGATGCGAATAACAGTGAAAAGTCTTTGCACACGGAGAATAACCAAACTAGCTCAAAAAGGTAACATGTTTCATTAGGATTTCTTCCTCCATCCACTGTTACAAACACCATTTACTCTAGAATGGAGGAAAGAGCACATTGCCGTTGAAAGTGATAGATCAACTGTATGCCATAGGTAAGCTGACATGATTCGGGTTCTATCAAGCGGCAGGTTGTAACAGTCGATTTTATTGAATGTAAGACGATAGTAGTAGTAACAACTAAAATTATCGGTCACGATAAGAATCAATGACGAAAATACAGCCGCGGTCGACGAAGTCCAATACTCGTAAGGGTCTACAATGTGCATTAGTGCATTGCCCGCTTATGCATCATGAAGTTGGGATGGTTCTTTACTGTTACAATATCCAGAGTATATTGAACGTTGCTCGAGCTACCATTGAGGATGGCCTGGATATCACGCTACTACACTAGATCTGTTGCATCAAATACAGAACCAGACAATAAGGCAAGTGGTCTCTCTGCAATATTTCTTCGCACATTTCGGTAAAGCAACGTCGACGGTAAGAAAAACAAGGCTGGTTAACTCATTACTGTCATTGTTGCTTGATATTGATCTCGACGTTCACCCGTCACTTTGGTAGGGATAATGCGCAAGGTTGACATAAGAAAAGTGGAAGAGATCCGTTCAATCCCAGAAGTGATTACAACCTCGAAATCCAGAATCATCACTCTGTTATTAATATCAACATGCTGGTGGCGTGGCGAGAGTTCAAGCAACCGATGTCCAGAACTCAATTCAGCAAACGATTCTGACATCAAGAAGAATCTTTAAGAAATTGGTAAGCCGTAACTCCTAGTCAAGATACGAATCAGTTTTCCTGTATTACAAATGTCCGTTCTAAATTAAAATCAGTTTTGTCTTTGTAGTTAAAACGCGATTAAATAATATTACGTCTCTTCTGATATCTGCACACCAGATTGGAATGCCATATCGGCAATCATTCCAAGAGATTGTAGACTGCAGGCTTTGAAAGACTCGTTCGCATATATTAATAACAGACTATGTGAGTAAGAATGTTCAATTGTGGAAATCGTCTCCTTGGTTATCATTCTATTCATAGACGTGCCCATCGGTCAATCTTGCTCACGACTAGGTTCCGGTTTCTCGATACAATACGGCGGCCATCACACACACATCTTAAGGTGTTAAGGCAGTTTCAAATGTGAGAGGGAGATTTTTTTTTTAAAGAATCTATGCAAGCGCTTATTCAAATTGACACCATTGATTAATTGTTGTAGTGACAAAAAACCGATTAATAGATATCCTGCATGTCGAACGGACGGTCAGCGATGAGGCTAGCTCTGGGTCATGATAAAATTGGTATTAACGGACGTGTGTATTGGAACATTTTGCATGGATTAAGCGTACTAATATACAAGTATACCCCAACATATAGGTTTCCGAATTAATCTCATCGGAAGGGAATAGTCGATTAACTCGAGGGGAGGTGAATAATAGGATTAGTGTCTACCGGTCGACACATGATCGTGAGTGGTAAAGCCTAGTTTACAGGTCACTGACCATCGTATTTTTACTAAAAGTAGGAGAAAGCCACAACTTCCGTCTGAAGTAGCTAAATCTCAAGGTCCAGCGATCGGTTGCTGTTGACTAGACAGTATCCAGTTCAAATCTTTTGCTCGGAAAAAATCCTCAAGTCTGAACACTCACTCTCGAAGTTCGGACATTGTTTTCTGTTGCAAGAGTTGACACCAATCATCAAAAAATGAATAGTAATAAGTAATGGACATAGAAACTTACAACGTCGAAGTTATTGAGATATTTCAACAAATCAAGAGGCATTCTTGGATTCGAGCAGGTGTGGGATCTGCTTTTATCGCATCTCCAGGATTCTTGTCTGCATTCTAGTCATGAAGTGGCTATCGCGTCTATCAAAGCCTTAAATAACATTATTCATTGCCTTATTGGCCGACTGCATGGCTTGGGTACGAAAACAATGTCAGGAAGCACGGCTTTCTGGTGCTGAGGCTTCGAACCGAGCTCGAATGTTGCTGCGTATTTTACTAGCATCAAGCTCGTTACCAATTTCATAAACTTTAAACAATGTGCTCTATATTTTATTCAAATGATACCCCGGCTAACAGTAACATGCACGATTTTATTTTTAACTCAACTCATATTGACATACAGATATGGAAGAATATCGTATTTATTAATTTAATTAGAAGAGGAGTAAACTCGTGAATAAACTGCGAATTACAAGTTTATTCGAAAAAGTGAGTCACTAAATCGTAAGCAGTGGTCGATGCTAATAACTTCGTTTACATGAACAGAAGTCTTTGTAACCGCCACTAAATC